CTCGCCTGGAGAGCTTTGGCCCCTTTGCAGCTGCCACAGAGAGAGGTTAGGTGGCATTTCACACCTTGATTCCCTGGCTGTCTGAACCACACCAGACTGTGAGAGGGGAGTGACAGAGGCAGAAATGATTGCCCTGGAGGTACCAGCCTTGCAGATCCCATTGTCCCATGAATGGGCCACATTTTCCTGTGGTCTTGCTCAGTATGTTTCTATGCTCAGTGTCTAACAACAATGCCATGGAAATCCTCTCCGAAGATTTCTTGGTGGCACTCTGAAGAAAGAGCTTGCAAAGTCTTTACATTTGATTAGAGAAAAAACCAAAAGGTATGTTTGTTTTTGTAATCAGTGACTTTATTTTGTTTAGACTTCCACAGAAAAGCCAAAACAATTCCTTAGCTCGCTTCTGCAAGCAAAACCCATTCCAAACTTACTTCTTCGCGCTCTCCTCCATGCCTTTAACTTGCAAATCTGAAGTGCTTTGCATCCAGTACTAAATTACAATATGAAGCCCTTCTGTGAAGTCCATAACTGCTAATCTTCCTGCATTATAGCTAGGAAAATAGAGTTGAGATTAAGGCTGGTGGGCCCTTCGAAGAGGAATTCAAGCCAGCTGAAAGGCTGGAGCTATGGTACACAACTCCTTGTGGCTCATTTGCAGCTCCCACATGGGCCCAGGGCCCTGGCTGCAGCAGTCTGTGCCCCAGCACCCTGACATCTCCACCACGCAACTGTTGTTTGCTGACCACAAGGCTGTGTTTGGCCATCAGCAGCTCTTTCAGGTGGAGCTTGAAGGCTTTTTGGCTGTGGCAGGGTAGGAATTGTTCTACTTCATCTCCTCTGCTATCAGATCCTGCTCCTTTATGCCATGCAGAGTTTTTAGGAGGTGCTGTCTAGCGTGTGCCTACATGCAAAATAAGGAATCCCTGTGCCTGCTCATCTTCCCTGGCTTTAAAGCATTAGAGAGGAGTCAGGAGCTCTGGTTTCTCATACTGATTCTTCAGAGGAGTCACATCATTTTTCCAGTTCTGGTGTCCTCAACATGAGAAGGACATGGAACTGTTGGAGCAAGTCCAGAGGAGGCCATGAAGTTGCTAGGAGGACTGGAGCATCTCCCCTGTGAGGACAGGCTGAGGGAGTTGAGGCTGTTCAGCCTGGAGAAGAGAAGGTTGTGTGGAGACCTCAAAGGCACTTTTCAATATCTGAAGGGCCTGCAAGGAGCTGGAGAGGGACTCAGTGTTAGGAACTGCAGTGATAGGTTCAAACTGGAGGGAA